AATATATATAAATATATATAATAATTATAATAAATATATATACATTATATTAATTAAAATTTTCTTTTGCCGGATATGATGTCATAATGAACTATTAAATGTATCTATATAATTATATTCTTTTTATATTTGCTTTTTTCTTCAGAAAAAATGATTAAATCCATATCCATAATGTTTTCAAGTATTAATAAATCGTAGAACGATCAGTAATATACAATATTTTAATAATAATAGCAATTTTAATTGAAGTTTTATAAAAATACAGGTGATCGTTTTTATATAAAAATATAATTATTCTCGGCCTTATAATGAACAGAATAATGCAAAAACAAAATTGACAAATAATATTAAAAACATTTTTTTATTTATCTTTTTTATTACATAAAATGTTATTAATTATTTTTTTTAGATGTTAAATTCCTTTTTTAAAACTTATATAGGGATATTAAATCAAATTTAAAAAGTATTGTACATACAACGCATTTTATAAATAACATTATGTTGTACATATATTATCACTAAACTATTTTTATGAGCTTTGCCATAATACGATGATAAAAATTATTATTTATTTGCTTGTGCTTGTATTATTATAACTAAAACAGTCGCGATAGACGTGATAAACTAAAAATAAAGACAATTTAAATTCTTTTTTTTTAGATATTTTTCAGGAATTTGACTATTTATAGTACAGGAATTATGTAATAAATATAACGTACCTTATGAAGAAATTTGAAACCAAATTGGAAAAATCCGATTCCACAGAATTTAAGGGGTGCATACACTATTCGCAATGAAAACTGAGAAATCTGTATAAAAAACGTTTTTAAAAATATATTACATATTTTGTTGATTTTATGTTTACTTTTATATTTAATATGTATTTTAATAATATTTTTATATGTGTGTGAACTCATTTTTAAACTTACAAGTTCACGAATTTCAACATCATAAGTGACATATGACAATTTATTTAATAAATCTGCTGTTGCACTTGCCTGCAATTGTAATATGTTTAATATAATTAAAGAATGTATTTTGAAAAATGTTTTAATTTAATTTTAAATTTAGATAATTTCTTCAATAATAATTTCTAAAGGATTTTCTGCATCTGTGAAGAAGTTTTCACAGTATAAAAAATAGTCTTAATTTATTTCATTTTTAGAATTATAACATCATAACATTACCCAACTTTATTTATACTTCGATTTGAATTATTGTCAGTTTTATTTAGATTGATAATGACCTCGTGGTAGTTAATTAACTACCACGTTTGTTTGTTTAATAACGTTTGTTTATATTATAATAAATTTTTTTTTAGATTGTAACTCCTGTTTTATTATTTTAATTTTAATCATCTGAATCGTTAATTTAATTTGTGTTTTTTTTCGATAATCTTTAAATTCATTCACTTATTATAAATAAAATTTAAATTAATGTTTTCTAAAATTTAATCTACCTTCGCACTAACTGTTTCGCACATATAATTAATAAGCAGGAATTTGAAAATATGATGATTTAAGCAGAATAAACGCACGGCGATGCCCATTGCTCTTGATTTGACATAATTGTTGATAAGTATTGTATTAAAAACTTCGCGCAAGTCAAGTACTATCCAACCAAAATAGCATGCCATTTTGATAGTCATTTGGGTCCCAAATATTAAGTTTATTTCACGGGATATTTTGCATAACTCTAAGTAAAGGTGTCTGGACATGCAAACATAAATATAAAGTTTTATGTTTTATGTGTACTGTTATTTATAAATATTAAACTTTTCCATGATGTTACCTCTATTAATAAACTTATAAAATTTCTTACATAATGATCCATGTTATGCATTTGTTATTTAATGATTTCGAAAGTCTACGTTGATCAGGATATATTTTGCTATTTACCCAAGCCCTTGTTATTTTATGATTTTTATTTTTCATCAAATTCCGAAGATATTCATTAATTTGATCAAACTTTAATTCTGTGTATCTAAAAAAAAGTAGATGGAAATTAATTGCAAGCAGCAGCTATATATTTTATTAGTACATTTATAATTTTTATTTCAGAAATTATGAAATATTCATGCATTACAATTTAGTTTAATTTATTTATATGTATAAATAACTACGCCAATAGATAAAGATATAATTGTAAGTATACGTAAAAAGATATACTAACTTGAGGATACTTGCATTAATTAAATCACCTATAAGATTAATATGAAAACAGTAGTCTCGTGTAAAATAGAATAATATAATTGTCGCGATATCATCATCATGTTTATCTTTAAATAGTAAAGCTTCGAAGTATGTTATTAATATAACTATAACAATCCATCCTAAGACACACCATGTTGCTTTTTTGCGTAGATTGTCATAATCTGTCGTTGTTCCTAACTTTAGCAAGGTGTAGTCGATATTATCAAATTTCTTCAAACAATTTTGGAATTTCTGTTACGAATGAATGAAAATAGAATGTAAAATAGATAAATATATATTACAAGTATTCCGATTGGGCGAGTCGAATCATCTTGTTCTTATATATGTTGTCAAAATCATGACTCTAAGTAAAAACTTTTAAAAGGTCTGTTATTTTTAGTCGGTCATTGTTCGTCAAAAAATTATTAACAAATAGAGTGTACAATATATATGAATATGTATCTAATTTTATAGTTCAAATTTTATTTTAACATATATATATATATATACACATATATATATTACATTATTAGTATATTCACATATTTTGAATGAATTCATAGACCGGAGAGACATAATTATACAAACGTAGATTTCATCTTGCCTAAAAAAGAAGGAAAGACCTCATTTTTCGCGTAGAAAGTCAAAAACTATGTGGAACTTTGCTCCGCGTAGAAAGTTATGAACCTAATTGAAATCTCGTTTCACATTGAAAAGTGTATGCATAGAAGCAATGGAGTTAGTTTCTTTCTAAGATTGGCATAATTTCACTATTAAAAAACTAGTCATATACAAGGTGTGATAAAAAAAAGACCGGAATTTTTCAATAACTTATAATTAAAAAACAAATTATAATGCAGGTCGTCTTCGAAATAACTTCCCTGGGTATCAATGGAACCATTTCTTCCAGTCCGCGGAAAACGCAGCAGACGGAATTGATCGTAATACCTCCTGCGATTCTGATATTATTCTCTCGTCGCTGCCCTTTCAATCGTAACTTTATCCGAGAGAATAGGAAGAAATCAGCTGGAGAGTAGGGTGGTTGCGGGACGATTGGTAGATTATTACGAGCAAGAAACTCTCGAATACAAAGCGCAATATGTGGTCGCGCATTGTCATGATGCAGTAGCCACTTCTTGCATTGCCATAACACCGGTCGTTTTCATCTCACGTCTTCTCGCAGGCGTCGTAACACCTCGAGATTTGTTCCTCCGTTTCGTCGTTAACTGATATGGATGGTCTTCCAGGCCTTTTCCTAAGCTTCTCTTCCACCAACATTAAACGCTTCTTAAACTGTCCGTATCACTCGTAAACTAGAGTAGAACTCATAGTCTCATAAACTTCCTTAAGCAGTTTGAATGTCTCCGCGCAAAATTTCATGCAAACACGCTGCTCTTGCAACATTTTAAAAACGCATGACGAATCGCGAATGGTTCAAACACACACTCGATTCCAATACAACTTTGGAATTATTGGACCGATCATAACGAAATTTCTACATCATACTGGAGAAGGATGCGCTATCTATCTGTAAAATTTTTAACTACAACTTAAATCATACAGTTTTACCCTCTCGCCAACAAAATTCCAGTCTTTTTTTGATGACACCTTTATTATAGATTTGAGTTGAATGAAATTTCATGTGGAAAGTTATATTATATTTACAGCAAAGTTTTACATATATATTGACAACTTCTCACACAAAGCAAAGTTTCATTCAAACCTATTATAATGTGTCTAATTTTTTGGTAGTGGAAGTTCTTTTATAGGATGTGAAAGGCGGAATCCACTGCATTCACACTTAATGTGGAGTGAGATTCCGAAGACGCAAAGTAAATTTACTTTCTATGCGGAGTAAGGTTCCATAAGGATTTCGATTTTCCGAGTGAAGCGATATTCTCCCTTTAGTTTATAGACTAAAATGCCATCAATATGATTATAAGATTCCCCCTCCCCCCCCCATGTCTCAATAATATTTTGTATTAAGGGAATTCTAAAGCAAAGCTTGAATTCCGACGAAGTTACCTGAGATCGCTTGTTTTCCAGCGCATCAACATGTCTTTATATATTACTACACTAATAACTCACGCAACTATGATACACGCCGTTGCACGTATGTTTTAATTTTCGTGTAATTTGTCGCGATAAAGCGTCTAAATCTAATTCTAAGAATTTGATATTTGTTCGCAAATTATGTATTTGTGGATTACTATTTCGTAAGTATAATAGGTTGCAAAACTTTTGTAACAACCAAATGTTGTCACGACTTGATAGCTTGAGATGCCATGTTACGCTAAGTAAAGAATATATCAATTTCGAAATTTTTGATTTTCGGCATAAACTCCGCCTCACAAATATGTATTAATGCGTAATAATGTGTATATTTCAATCCTGGAAAAGGATTTTTGAATCTGTGAAAGAGAAAAAAAAGTATTTATTATACAAAAATTATATGATTTAGTCAATAATACAGATGGCTTTAGGATCTCTTTAATAGCTATATAATCTGTATCTAATATATATTTAATATAACTTGTCAAAAATTATTTTGTTGATAACTTTGTAACGAACGACAGATACGACGCAGTGACGCCAACAGCTAAAATTTCTGAACATCAGTTATTACCTTGACAGCATATATTGAGGTCAAGATGTTTGGAGTACATATAAAATTTATTTATTATATATATATTTTTTATCTACTTAATTGTGTAAATAGATATAAAAATGTTTATTCTTAATAATTACGTATTTTATAACAATTGCTTTTTATTAATAATATTACTGGTTTTATAACATTTCTTTACCTTATTATGATATATTCCAAACACGATTGACAATAACGTTGTAAAAACTTCTAGATAATGGCAAATTTGGTTCTCGATGGAAAAAAACATGTGAAAAGAAATTATTAATGCAGATGATGAGAGGAAATAGTACACTGACCAAATTAGTAGCATATATGTGACACTAAACCATTTTAAATGATTAGATATGGCAATTCTCAAACCAAACACGTAACTGACCATTAAAAATGGTGTTAAAATTGTACGAATATTCTTTACCATTGCACACATAATTTTTATTTCAAACTACTTTTGTTGATGAGTTGCAAGTATAAATTGAATGGAATGGCAATACTAGACGCAAAGTGCTTTCTGTTAAAGCACTTAGGAGTATTAAAGTAATCAATCTACTACATTTTGTGCTCTATTATTTATTTAAACTTATAGATGGATAATGGGTATACTTTATTTTTCATCTACGTTGATACATAAAAAGTATGAATATTCTGGTAACTTTATTTTTTATTTTTTTTATTTGTCCTTTTTAATATATATTTAAGTTATTAAAGTATTAATTACAATTGCAATTGCAACTAAGTTATAACAAATACATAAATAATGCAGAAATATTATATAATAAATATATTGCATTATATTATAAATATATTGCAATTATGTGTCAATTGCTTCCCTATAATATATATAAAAACGTATATGTAAATATAATGATTAATGTCTGTAATAAGAAATTTCTGGACAGATGATGATCGATGTACAATAAAAATCTAATATATATATATATATATATATATATATATATATATATATAATATAGTGTGTATATAT